CTTGCAAATGAGATTGGTGGGGGGTGGGGGTGGGTGGTGGATCAGTTTATCTGGAAAGCCTGCTCCTGTGTTCTCAGGAGTTATAAAAATGGGAATCATTTTTATTGGCAATCCACTGGAATAGTGCTGAGACAAATGGAAACTTGAAGATTTGGATCCTCAGAGGTGAGAACACACAGCTTTTGGGAATTGGGGGAGAATCTGACCAATAAAGGAAGTCACTATTTTTCCAGGCCTAAAGTGAGTTATAGGGCGAGACGGGTGTTGTATATTTATGTAAGGCGGCAGCAGGGAGCTGAAGCAGCTGTATATTGCTGAAAGAGCATCATTCACATTCAGGCTGAGACAAAAGGTGGAAATGAAGTAACATCCTGGCCAAAGAAGGCCTCACGACAGAATAATAACATTTCAGAGAGGGGGGCCGTGGAGAAGGCTGTGGGTAGGCCTCAAAATGAGGAAATGATCAAGATGCCTTGTCAGGCCTTCAAAAAACAGTTACACGCGCACGCACACACACACACACACACACACTCAGGATTAAGGCCCGGCCAAGCGTCCTTGGGAAGGAAGGTCATTTATCTTTCACAGAAACGTGTACGTAATTACTTGCAACCTTCATCAGTATAGTCAGCAAGATAGGTTTGCCAAAAGAACTAGAAAAAATATATATCAATACTCAGATTATAGTTGGGACCCAATTTGGTGTTTGTTACTATCATACACTCTAGCCCTCACTGCATCAGCGTGGATACTAATTCAGGACAATATTTGAAGGACTAAAGTGGTTCTGGCTGCTCACAAGATTCAAGGGAAGGGGGTGAGTGGGGGGTGGGGAGAAACTGTCTTATCTCCTGTGTTTATTTATTGTGTCCTTTTGTTTAGAGGAAGTTGCAAGTAGAAGAAAGGGGTCATGAAATTATACTCCTCTAAAGACAAATGCTAAGAGGGAAACAGACATTCATTTCAGAAAAATGATCAAAAGAGAAAGGAAACAAAAGACTTTTATCATTCAAAAAATATACACAGCTAGTCTGTGGGACTCTTTGAAAAGGCTCTGCTTCTGTTTGGTAGAAATAATCTAGGGTGCCCCTACATGCTAATTAGGATGTTGTCAAAATTTTTAATGGTGGATTTTGGTGACTATTTCAGAAGCTTTAGTCATTTTAGCAAAACACACAATATAGGATAAGAATCTCCAGTCACACAGAGAGGTTTTGGTTAATACTAAATTAGAATGGTTATTAAAGTATGGAATCACGTGGAACTGGGTTGAAAATTGTCTTATCCTTGAGGTTTATTTATTTTTGAAACAGATATAACAATTCTGAAGAAGTTACAATTAAAAGGCTTCATATAAAAATGTTTACGTGACAGGCCATGGACTAGATTTGAAAGTTTACCTTATTAGGACGAAGTGCAATGAGATGTCACGATGATTTGATGCTCGGGAAACATCATTTCAAACATAAAACACATATAGACAACCTCAAGGACATTTCAAGTTTTAAGGGAATAGTGGAATTATAGAATGAATAGATTTGCTTCTATTTTTCGATTTTTTTTTCCTTCACCATTTTACAACTGTTTATTAAGCTGCCATTAAAAAAAAAAAAACAGTGGATCAAAATGGTTTAATTTCCTTCTTTGACCCCTTTTAAAAAGTATTATTTCTCACTGTTTCAGTCGTGCCTGACAAGTTTACACATTCAACCCCAATATTATCAGGACATGGTATTTAGCAACCTTTTCAATAGCCGAAGGCAAGAAAGACTATGAAGGGACTCTGAGGTTTCTTCCTCTCCCTATAAAACCAGCAATTTGCAGATGGGAAAGATTCCTCTTGTATTTGCAGGTGAACTTACCAGGCACAGACCTGAAGCCAAAGATTTCTAGGAATGATAACTTCAGCACATCCGTGAAATGATCTTACTCGCCAATTTCCTATTTTTCCACAGGGGACATCTTAAGGGCTGGGGTCATGCAAATTCATTCCTGGCTTCTGAAGCAGCAGGGAATGGCCAATGCCAGGGGCAGGGTTCCAAAACCATTAGCCCACTGGTCTGATCCTGCATGGGCAAACCTAATATTTGGATCACACACCCCATCTCATGGCATGCCTGTCTAGTACTAAAAACGCACTGGTGGCGAAAATACTGAAATAGATCACTCGCTGAAGCAGATCCTAGAAGTGTTTTATGGAAAAAAAAAAAAAATCCGCAGAGTTTGAGCTCCATTGAGAAAAATAATATCTTAAATACAGATTGTTCAGAGTCTCTACTTCTATGTTTACTATATATATATAATCTAGCTATATAAAATCTATCTGTAAGGAATTTCTTGAACTAAGAATCATTGTTCACACCTGCAGCAGTTCATATAAAAAGCAATACTGGCAGAGGGAAAAAAAAAAATTCTTCCTTCCTTTGGTTTCTCCCTTAAATGTTTGAGTAAGGAATCATTAGAACGGTTGCAGGCATCTGTGTGGTGTGACGTGTTGGAAAAAAAAAAAAAAACCCTCCATTTAAACACAGATTTTAACCTTTCCACCTTAGCCTCTTACATTTTCTTTCCTTTTACTCAAAGCATTTAGGTAAATGAGGATGAGGTCCCTCCATAAAAATGCAAGGGGATCAGTTAAACTTTCATCTCTAATTTATTCATGAAGGAGTGAGGTCTTGCCTGGTCCTGCTGTGCATCATCCTGTCAGAATGACTTTCTCTCGTGTTGAGAAGGGAGATGGAAGGGCAGCAAATCGGAGCTTGGGCTGTGCCAGTAATTACTGCGGGGAGACAAATGCAGGTGTCTTCTCACAGGGCCGAGTGAATGTGAGCAACAGTTTCAAAAACGAGAACCAGAATGGAGGTCGCATCTCCATGTGTGTGAGGCGACAAACAAACAAACAAAAAAACACATGTATTATAAATATAAATACGTCTATGCTACAAATGCATAATATGTAAACACATCGTTTAGAGAATACACGTGTAATCCATAGATAGATTCCATCTATCTCAACCGATTGATCATGACAGTGTAGGCACACCATTATTTCCATGTCCAAGTGGATATAAAGGATTGACAACAATGAAAAATACACCTGAATGAAATTTCCTACACCATACTATTTCCAGCTCTGCTTTTTTTTTTTTTTTTTTAGTTACAACTTCCTGTGAGCTTGACAGTGTAGGCTGTCCACTTCAATAATTCTTGCTCTCGTGCATCAAGATTAAGCTCCTCGTTGGTTGGTCTGCATGTGCAAGCAAACACGTGCGTGCATCTCCAATGCGTACTTGACCGGGGGGCAAGTTCAAAAGATTTATTCGTCTTTTAAGAAGACCCTCATTTTCTCTTTCAAATTTAACTGTGGTGTAATATGTTTAATGTTCTCTCTTAAAAGTTCTTTTTTTTTATTTTTAAATCATTTCCTGTTGTTGTTGTTTTTTTTTCTCTCTCCACTTCCGAATATATTTCACATTCATAGGTTGGAGGAGCGCCGAGTCTTATAATGTGAAAGACCTTATTCTACTTGATGAATAGGTTCCTCGGTTTTGCCATTCCCACCCCAGCATTCAAAAATTATCATCTTTTATACATGTGCAAAAGGGAGGGGGTGGGATCTGCCATTAGTTCTTTTAGTCGTCAGGAAATTACAAAATGTACCCTTGCGAAGTAAGCAATTTTTGCAGTCGGCCCGCACATCCATCTTTTTAATGAGCCTTGTTTATAACCTGACGCCATGTTTCTAGTCACCTACCCTGTTTACGTCTTTGGCCCCTTTAATTAAGAGAAGAACCAGTTAAAAGAAAGTAAGAAGAAATATTAATATGATCTGATTAATTCAGCTAGCAGGAGGTTATGGGGTACCAAGGTTATTATAACCTATAAAGGCAATGTGAATAAAGCTGTATTCATTTGTAATTTTATTAGGCGGAGCAAATTAGTGAGTCTGCATAGCAGTGACAAAAGACCCATTCCTATTCTCCCTTACCCCCTACTGCAAGGGCCAGGTGCCCAAAGTTAGGCTCCATATTAGGCAAATGAGATCTGATAAATCTCAGCTGCACATCTAATGAGAACCTCCGGAGCTGGTGCTGTGCTAATTTGGAAAGATTAGCTGGGATGTTTGTGTATGGCTGGTTAAAGTCCAATGAAATAAAAGGAAAGCACAGAGAAGAGGGAGCAAAACCAGGAAAGGGTTAAAGACATTAAGCTAACTCTCCCAAGGCCAGAAAGAATTGATAATGGACAAACTATTAGAAACAAACTATCTAGGGCAGTTTGAGGGGTGAAGTGAAAATTCTATTTTAAAAGAAACATCCATGTAGCTAGTCTCTTTATAATAATAAAAAGCTTAAGGTCTACCTGTGTGGGCTTCCCCTCACCTTGAACCTGCCCACCCCAGCCCATCTGATATCAGGAACCCAGCTTTCGTCCACTTTCATGGAGTCAAAGAAAATTTCAGGGTTTATTTCCGGCAAAGATGCCTTGAATCCTGGTTAAGTTAAGAAGAATTCAAAGTGAAAGGGAGTAGGCATGCCGGGAATTTTTAATACAAAGATTTCAAGGTTTTTCCAGGGGAATATTCTCACAGGCTGGTCTGTAGATTCTGAAAAGAGGCTTCATTATTCCAAAATCCTGAGTAGACAAATATGCTTGAGCCTCTGATGTACAAATTATAGTTTCCCTCATCTTGTTTCTATCTCATCAATTTTTCTAAACTCTCATTTCAGACTTGCTGCTAATCTGGTATTTGTTCTGGCCTGACTTGGCATCTCCTGGCAATGGCTCCAATCCTTACCTGGCTCATGCCTGACTTCTCTGTTACGAACTTAACACTAAGAACTTGGAGGGCCTCGCATTTCACTTCAATCTAGAAATAGGTTTTTATTTAGTCATGAGTATATTCTATCCTATTCCAATAGTTAAAATTGATTGTGATAGTTCTTAGTCTGTTATATACCCTGATCATAGTCTCCTAAAGGGCCCATTGGAGCATGTAACCAACTCTGAGTTAGAAAATTAGCCTTTTATAAGAAACAACACAAACAAGCAAAGGGAAAAATAAGGCACAGAGACACAAATCAAGAAACAGACTTTTGGGTGCCTGGGTGGCTCAGCCTGTTAAGCATCTGCCTTCAGCTCAAGTCATGATCCCAGGGTCCTGGGATGGAGTCCAGCATTGGGCTCCCTGCTCAGCAGGGAGTCTTCTTCTCTCTCTAGCCCTCCCCCCTGCTCATGATCTCTCTCTCAGATAAATAAATAAAATCTTAAAAAAAAAAAGAAAAGAAGCAGACTCTTAACTATAGAGAACAAACTGATGGTGCCCAGAGGGGAGGCGGGTGGGGAGATGGGGGAAGCAGGTGATGGGGATGAAGGAGGGCACTTGTCATGCTGAGCACTAGGTGTACACCTGAAACTAACATTACACTGTATGTTAACCACCTGGAATTAAAATAAAAACTTAAAGAAAAAGATTAGCCTTTTACCAGTAGTAAAGCATCCTATTAAGTGTACTCTTCCTAGAAGAAAAAAAATCATAAATTGGATAATAGCAGCAATATTGTCAAAATAGATCATTTCAGAAACCCAATGGAAAAATGAAGGACATTCATCTTAAGCAGGCATTTCCATGGCCAAAACTATTTGAATGTTTTAAATTATGTTCGAAGCAAATACAAAATAAGTTTAAAAAATTTAAATAGTAAGAAGTACACCCTCCCTGGTTGAGTAATGACTTCTCAAGGAAAAAAAAGTCTTTTATTGGAAATAAATGAAAAGACAGAGCATTATATTGGATTTAAGTGTTCTCTTACCTCCAAGTACAACATAATGTAGGACTCCTGAAAATGTGAAAAAAAAAAAAAATCATGCAATACCGTCTTCCTATGCTAAACGTATCTCTAAAGTTTTAAAATTTTATGTAAAAATCAGTGTATATGAATGTGGGAGGAAATTCCACAATGAACACATTTAAATACCTTCCAAACTCACTGGGATTTTGCCTCCTGGGTGACACTCTCCTTATTTAAAATTTGCTTCAGTCAGTAAGGTCACTTTTTTTGATAGACAATGTAGACAAACTTGTTATTATTTATAACAAGTGCTTCCACAGGCCAGGTAAGAAATGGTTAAAAATCTCTGTAACAGATGAGATGATGCATCACCCAGAAGCAGCTAATACTATCATAGTAGAGACTCGGGGACTATCTGTTGAGTCAAATAAGTCAAATAAGTGTTCAAATGCATATCACACACAGCTTGGGAAAGTGACCTGTGGTTTTCAATCAGAATCTGTCTTTGTTTCATCACTGATGTCACTGCCCTCAGAACATTTGGTTTATTCTGAGCGACAGGGGTTTAGAGCATGTCCTCCAGTCAAAATCCCAGCTCAATCACTACATGCTGTGTGTCTCTGAGCAACTAACTTAATCTCTCTTTGGCTTAGTTTCCTCATTTGTACAATGGCAAAAATAATGGTAGTGCTTAGCTCTTGGCATTATTTTGAGAATTAAATGACTAATACCTGTAAATCACTTACAAAAGTATTTGGCATACAGCAGTACTTGATAAACATCGTCGGCTATAGTATCATTTTCCTTTTTTATTTTTGGTACAGTTTTTATGGCAGTCTCTCCCCAACTTGTGAATACCCGGAAGACAGGAGGAGTCTTATTCAATGACATGGTACCTCTGTGCCCAGCACAAAAGTCCTACCTAAAAAGAGGGACTCAAGACGGGCTGACATTTTCTATACTGCATGCGGGTAGCCATCAATGAAACAACTCAGACTAGGACATTTCTTTCCCTCTGAACTTCGTGCTCGGGTTTTCCCTCTTGATCTTCTATTTTCAGCAGCAACAATAAAGCATCAGATAACTCCCATGCAAAACCACAAGGGAGCTTGAATGTTAAGTGCCACATATTACAATAATGATAAAATGTTTAATTTATGTCCATATCTGTTGGCTACAACAGGCTTCATGCACATTTGTAACCTTACTATTTCTCTCTCTCTCAAATAAAAAGATGCAGTTGTTGCTGTTGGGATCCTGGAAGAAGCAGAGATTTTGGAAGACCCTCTCTGCCACCTTCTAAGCTACTTTTCATATCTATTCAGTAACACCCACCTCATGGGATTGTGATGAGTCTTGGTAAGATAACTATCTAAAATATCTGGTACTCAATAAAGGATAGCTATTGTTATAATCATCATTTGCAGAAAATTTCACCGCTGAGGGTTCCCATAGGCATAAAAGACTTACAGCAAACCTCATTTGGTAATAGTTACATTAATAGTTGGTAATAGTGCTTTGATAAGAAGGATTCTGAGCCTGAATGCACACTCAGGGGAATGAGTCTGTCATTTGTGAGCAAGTCTGCCTTGTGCACTGTACAGGAAGTCAGGATTGTGCTATGGCTTTTCCACGTAGACTCTAAGGCATATGTCTTCCCAAAGATAGGATCCCATGGATGCTTTTGGAAATCTGATGAAGCCTATGAACTTGTCTTAGAAAAAATGATTTTAAGTGAATAATATTAAATGCATTTTAAAACACAATCATTAAAATGTTGATCAGACAAACTCAATATCATAATATGTATGTGTTTCTTTTACTAACATAGTAAGGAACAAGATCTAGTGACAGGTCTCATAGCTACCATCCTGTCAAAGATGTATCGAGCATACAGGATGCTGTGATGTATCTGTGACATATTTAACGTGATAGAATTGTATCCAACTCCTAGCGACAAATCGTAAGTATTGCTAATACTGTTACTATGTTTTATCCAAACTCATAATGAAAGGAAATGCTACGTTTGTTAGAAATCAGTGAAAATAAAGCTGCAACTTTTGTCCATCCAATTTCACGGGGCCCTTGCTCTAGAACCCTAGATGAAGAATCAGTGTGCTAGAATCCCAACTTAAAACTCTGGCCGAAGACCTAGAAATTTCTTTTTATTTAATGAGCTTGGTACACCATGTTTTTCCCTGACCACCACCCTGTTCGCCCTTCAGGGCATACTCTTCCATCTTATGAAGTTTGTAAAGACCTTCAGAAACCAACTCTTAGAAATTTTTGTGGATACTTTAAATTGTTCCTCCTACATACACACACAGGCTGATTTCATAATTATTATGATTATGTTTCTAGTAGAATAGAGTATCTTGGTATAAATGTTAGAATTTAAATGAAAGTCAACTTTGAAGGTAGATGCAAGAGAATTCATATAAGCTATGACAGTATTTTAAGAAATGAAATGCTTTGAAAACAGTCATAAAACAGGAAGTGCCTTAAGTCTTGGGAAACCTCATACCCAATTGTGCAGAGGGGAAAGATTAAAATAAACTTTGGACAAGCATGTAGACTGTGGGACACTTAATTCAACCTAAGCTTTACAGCTTTTTGACACTGACCCATATTCCTAGATAAAGGTTGTAATTCATTCTCCTGGATATGAAACAATTCTTCACACTGTTGGATTAAAAGCCCAGACGGTATATATATAGCTGGGTATATTGGGACAGAGTGATGTGTATCTCTAAAAAGGGAAACCCAATTTAGATTAGGAATCCATTGTAAAGACAGGATACAGGTGATTTATGTATTTACAAATATTTTGCCTGTTATGGGCTCCCCATGAAAGAAATAAGTCCAAAGGGATGGTTAAAATAAAATCTTATTCATTGCTCATACATCTTAGTGGTGATTGAGAAAGAACGCAGGATGGAAGTCTCCTAAATTTGACCTTTCAAAAGCAGACACAGTGTGGCTCTTCATTGCTTGTTTACATTTGCGATACTAAAAAGATTAATTGATTGTTCAATAAATTATCACTTTACAGATGGGGTTAGTCTCTTAAACAAACCACCAATCACCTTGTTAACACATAAATATAAATAAATCGTTTTCAATAGGATGAAAATTATCCCCTTTGCAGGTGTGGCAATTAGATTATTGATTTTAGGTAAATGTCTAGTTAATTATGCAATAGGTTTCATTTCTTCTGTTAATTAAGCTACTGCTCTTTTAAGTCAATAAGCTGTGGCCTCAGGAGAAATGAGAAGTTTCCCACTTGAAGAGTCCAGGTACTTCCCCCAAAACGGGGCAGAATAGGGGACCCTTCTTCTTTCCTTCAAAGACCCAAACGAGGAGGAACTTTTATGAGTGAATTGTATTTCCAGTTCATTCCATGTCTATTTCTAGAATCCAGATTACATAGAATCTGAAGAGAAATACTTAACTTGAAGGGAAACAACCTGTCATCTGTAAAACTCTGCCTAAGAGAAATTAAACTATTTCTGTCTCATTTGGTTTCACGAAGACCAGTTCTAACCTATCGCTCAGGAATCTCTACCCAGGATTCAACTCCTTCCAAAATGGTGACATCCTCATTTAGGTGTTAATCATTCACATGATCTAGCAGGGAGAAAAGATTATTTTTAGAATTGTCCTGGAAACAGAGCCTAAATGCAACTCAGAGTATCCTTACCCACATGCCTCACCCTGTTCCTTAACTTTGGACCAAAGATTGATCCACAGATGTTGACTTTTGTCCTGCTCTACTTGGGAATTGACTGTCTGTTTTTCTCTTCTCTTTTTTGGGGGGTTTTGGGAGGGGTGGGGGTGGGGGCTGTACTCGCTTTGCCTCACACCTGGAATCTGAACACTATGATTTCATAACTTGGTAAGGCTTCTGACCCTCTGATTGACTCCAGATTTTGCTTTGTCTACCCTGGCTTCAGTGCCAAAGTCTCACACGTGTCCTCTCCTGTAAATCTGATAATGTTTCGCACAAAGTAGAGGCACAGTATTAATCTAGTAAATGAACCGAAGGGTGGGAGTCACGCTGTGTATCTGTGAAAAGCCCTGGGTAAATTCCATGTTGGAAAGTAACTAGCTTCCAGACAGCAATGAACTGATTCTTTTCCTCTTTTAGGCATTGACCTAAGGATAATCCACAAAAATAAAAATTATAATCATTAATATTTAATGAGTGCTTGCTATGTTCCAGACATCATCCTAAGATAAATGGCGTGCATTATCTGATTTCAGATAATCCTCAAAGAAGGTTTTTCAATACCTACTTTATTACCTTCATTTTACAGATGGAGAAAATGAGACATAGAACCCAATGTCACAGAGTAACTAAGTGGTGGAACTAGGTCGCAAACCTGGGAAATATAACTACAGATTCCGCGCTTTTAACAACTACCCAGCCACTGGTGATCACTCATGGACCAAACGAGTGATAAGAGCCAAAGGATCAATAGTGTTATCAAACTGGTCCACTTGACCTGAAAACTCTTTGACAAAAATAATAGCCCATATTAAATAAGAACTTAGTTCATTTTATTCTTCCCAAAGTGAACGTACAGACTGCCATTTTCTCAGTGGAAGCTCAAACAGTCAAGAAGGGGTTGACATTTTATGAAGCAGAGTAGGTGCTGGTCAGAGGAACACTCATAAGTCCAATATCCCTCTTCCAGCTGATGATTTTAGCACCGCAAACATGAATAACACATAAGTAAAAATTATTTTTTCCTGACCAAATTACTTGCTGCTAGCATAGAAGTAGCTAAAGAGCAAGTACACACTATACTTTTATTTGAATGTTCCCCAATTAGTTTACAATAAGTTTGGACATAGTCCTCCTGACCACAGAATGACTTTTGCTACTTCTTGAGAACGAGGATATTTCCTTTTACGGTAAAAGCTATAATTAGCTGAGGAATCCTAAACTGTACTTGTTAAAAATAATCCTCATTCAAGAAACCTGGTAAAAGTTGTGCTGGTGTTTGCACGAAGCCTGTTATACATAATTTTCTGAAGCTGTTTTCAATCATGCAAATGATTTTTTCCTTTGCAATATGCTAATGCAATCTGATTTATTTCAGTTGTAAAAGTTAATTACAATGTGTTTGTGAGTCCCTAAAGATGATGTATTAAATGTTTATAACCAGGATTATTAAAATGCCCTGTCTCGATTACAGAGCTTCTCTTTCAAACACTAGAACTAATTGTAGCCTTAAATCACAACAACCTCACTGTTAAAATTAACACAAGGGCAACATTGCATAATTTTAATTAATTTTAATTTGGCCAAAGCAAATTAATTTTTGTTTTCTAGAAGGACAGCTAAACTCTTTTGTAGCTCGCTTTCACTGAACATGGAGTTCATAAACTTCTTTTCTTCTGAGCATTTTCATTCCTCTGAGGATTGTACCATGGGATGGAATCTTTGTTTATGTTTTGGTTCCAATTTGCATATCTGGGTCTCTCTGGAGAGAGAGTATGGAAATGAAATGAAACCAGAGTGGAATGTATACAGTTCTATGGTCAGGGAGACAAATTTTTCTCTGTGAGTTTCAGAATCTTAGTCCAAGTATTTGCAAATAATAACGTTCAGAGCCCAGAAGAGGAGTACTCAGACTTCTATCGTTAGCACCCATTAAAAAGCTGCCAACACCTCTTTCGAAGTTGGCAAAACAATTTTCTAAAAAAATACCTGCTTAGAAGACATCATATCCAGATTCTTTCCTCTTCCCTGTGCTTAAACACATGTACCAAAATTGATTATTTCCGATGAATAACTAATACTAAATCTTCCATTGTTTTATCATTTCCCTGAATATCATGGTCATTCTCTGTATTCAAATGAAAGCTGTCTTAAAATTAGTCATCGCCATGATAAAAAAATCTTGAAAATCCATCTTAGAAAGTCAACATGGCCCCCTGAAATCTAAAAAAATCAGTGACCAGCACTATATAGGATTCCAGTGCCTTATCTAACTTAAGTTCTAAATGTTGGAAAGAACTGGATAAATTATTTCTTATCTCGATTTACATGTAGATATTTTGGGATGATGTGGCTTTGCATTTTTGCTAATCATCTACATTTTAACTTGTTTGTCCCTACTTAACAGGCATTCTTTATGCACTTGATAAACTAAAATGTTAGAAGCAATCTCATTTTACGGCCAGAAACAATAATCCTAGCCAAAATGAAGAATGATTTTTTTAAAAAAGTTAATTCACACCATACCAGTAAAGTCTAAGCATATCAGATAATTCTTTGTCCAAGCCAACACATTGTCTTTAAGAGTAAAAGAGGACACTGCTAATAATTGCATGAGAACATTGTGCTTAAGACTGGAATCTCCTGGGAAAACTGGATTTATTCACCCTCCACATAGAGAAATGACACTGATGTCTTTCTAGTTGTGTATTTAGCTTACCACATTCCTCCTTTCTGTTCGTTGGTTATGGAGATGGGTCTCTGTAAACCATATCTTCGTAGCATGATTCCATACTGGATATAGCTGACTAGATGGGCATGAATATTTGATTGAATTAGATCTATGGAGATGCGTCTGAAGTGCTCAGGCATGAGACATTTGGGTTAAACTCTGGATGCAGCTAAATCAATCTTAAGCAAAAGTGAGGGATGTGGAGAATTCCTTTTCAATCTGTGTTGTGAATATATTTACCATATAATAAAAATGTACATTTCAGTCACAGATCAGGACAAAGCATATATAAGACCAGTTTCATTTTTTTTTGATTAAGGAAGATATCTGTGTAAAAATTTAATTCCATTTATAAAATTATGAAAAGAAATTTGAAGTTCTTGCCTGGTGAAAAAAAAAAGTGACAGGATCCAAATCATCCTGTTGACAATCTACAAATAATCAGTACAAAAGACTTTTGGTTTAAATTCAATGACTTTAAAACAAATCTAATAGAAAACATATA